TCACAAAGGTTTAATATGACGTAGCTTCAACAGTATTTTCTTGGGTAGTTTAAAACAAGCGTATCTGGGAAAGATTATATCCCAAATAATTTATTTTGGGCTATGGATCGTATGTTGGTTGAAACGGAAAAAGTGGATGAAAACAAATCAGAAACCAAATTAAAGCGTTTCAGAGTTCATTGAGGTAATACTTTGCCAGCTATCTAAAAAGATAACAAAACACACACAAAAAACCACCACCAACAAAAAACACACACAAAAGAAAACACACAACCCCCCCAAAAAAAAAACACCACAGAAATTAAGATCAAGGAAAATTATGCTAAAGTTCTGCCATTCAGTTAATGGCTCTCACAGTCTTGCAGACTGCAGTCACTGTTCCTAATTTCTGTGGCACAAAGCCAGTTTGGCTATCAGCATGTCCAACTTTAGTAGAGTTTTCATTTACATCAATATTATCTCCTTCATTTCATCTTGGCTTTTATGTTTTAGAAAAAAACCCACTCATTCTTTAGCTTCCCAAGCATTCTTTTGGATCAAAGGATGAGTTTTATGCATTGCAGGTTCTGAGCTGGAGGTAGATATGACAGAATTTGGAACAGAAATTTGTTTCTAGAATTAATCATATATCTTGAAAAAATGAGTACCTTAAAGAGTGCCTGACTGAATTCCCTAACTTCTGGCTGAGGCAGGTTTAGTTTCAGATCCCTGATGCATAAACAGTACTGGCTGCATTTTCACAGACCAGGTGGACTATCTGGTTCAATGTGCTGCTCAGACAATAGCTTGTGGAAGATTCTGTGGGAAGAGCATTAGGTGATGTTGTGGAGTGGTGATACCTCCCTAATACTCTCTGGAACCCCAGTAATCAGTGATTTTCTGGCCAGGATGTGGTGGCTTTGTATATAAATAGTGTTAGTGGCTCTTGCTTCTGTGAGCTTGCCTAGTAATTTTTGAACCCCTGTAAATTTTTGGTGTCCCTAGCTTGCCCGTAGTAAGAAGGCATCCACAGTTTAATTATGTGTTATGAGAAAAACTACTTCCTTTTGTTTGTTTTAACCTGCCCACCTGATGACTTCGTGTGGTTTTTCCTATGCCTTTTATCATGATAGGTGAGTAATTGTTCCCTATTCTCCTTCTCCCCGAAGCTCATAATTTTATAGATATTTTTCGTATTTCCTTTCAGTTTTCCTTTTTCCAAGCTGAAGGGTCCTATTTATTTAGTCGTTCCTCAACATATAAGCTATTCCATACCTTTGATCATTTCTACAGCATTTATTTGTACTTTTTCCAGTTCTACGATAGGCTTTTTGAGAAGGGAGGAGGAACAGGGGTTAGAACTATTCTCAGTATGCAAGAGATAGATGCAGTTCTGGTTTATGTGGTAGCATGGTAGTGTTCTTGGCTTTGTTCCCCGTGCCTTTCCTAGTAATTCCTGAGTTTGCTTTTTGAGAGTATTTTAGTTTTCGTAGAAACATCTATTATACCTATAGTTATAAAGTTTCCTTCCTGAATAGAAATAACTAGTTCAAAGCTCATCACTGTGTAAAACTAGGACTGTGTTTCCCTAGGTACATAACTACATTCAATTAAATAATTATGAAATCTACCATTTTAACTTTGATCATTCAGCAATGGGATGTTTTTTTTTTCACACTTCTCAGTGATTTTCAGTTTTTCAGCAGCAAACTTTTTTATTTCACTCTTTTCTTAGATAACTTATAAGTGTTTTGAATAGCAGAGACTATAGCACAAATTCTTGTGAGACACCAGTGGTAATCTCCTTCTATTGTGGAACCTGTCCATTTATTCTAGCTCTGGTGTCATGTGTTTTAACTAGTTACAAAATCCATGAGAGATAGTCTCTTTATCCTACACTGGCTTACTTTATTTAGGAGCATTTTGAATGAACTTACCAGATCTTATCAGCTGAGAAATGGCTGGTGTGAAAGAGTTACTCTAGGCAAGTGGACAAATACAATTGTTGTTTAGTTCAAAACATAGTGACTGGCCACCAGCTGGATTTAACTGTTTATCACAGCTCTTTGAGCCTGGCCATCCAGCCAGTTTTTAATCCATTGAAGAGTCCACCCGTCTATGCCATGGCCACTAGTTCTCAAGGACTGTGCTGTGGGAGACAGTATCAAAGGCCTTACTAAAGTCCAGGGAGACAACATCCACAGCCTTTCCCTCATCCAATAGGTGGGTCACCTGGTCACAGAACAAGATCAAGTTACTCAAGCAGGACCTGCCTTTCATGAACCCATGCTGGCTGGGCCTGATCTCACCATTATCCTGCTCTTGCTGTGTGACTGCACCCAAGATGAATCGCTCCATAATCTTCCCTGGTTCCAAGGTCAGGCTGACAGGCCTATGGTTTGCCAGATCCTCCTTTTGGCCCTTTTTCTAGATGGATGTCACGCTGGCAAGCCTACAGTTGTCTGGCGCTTCCCCTGTTAACCAGGGCTGCTGGTAGATGATGGAGAGTGGCTTGGCAAGCGCCTCTGCCAGCTCCCTCAGCACTCTCGGGTGAATACCATCTGGCCCCATAGACTTGTGAGTGTCCAGGTGGTGTAACAGGTCATTAACAGCTTCCTCCTGGATTTTGGGGATTTGCTATTGCTCTCCATCCCTATCAGGAGGTTGAGGATAACGGACTATGAAAGACTGAGGCAAAGAAGGCATTCAGTACCTCAGCCTTTTCCTCATCCTTGATAGCAACGTTTCTCCCTGCATCCAATAAAGGGTGGACATTCTCCTTGACTATCTTTTTGCTGTTAATGTATTTGTAAAAACCTTTTTTTTATCCCTCACAGCAGGGCCAGGTTGAGTTCTAGTTGTGCTTTTGCCTTTCTGATGTTCTTTCTGCATGACCTAGCCAGATGCCTGTAACTCCTCTTGAGTTGCCTGCCCCTTTTTCCAAAGGTGGTAGTCTCTCCCTTTTTTCCTGAGCCTCTGCAAGAGCTCCCTGTTCAGCCAGGCTGGTCACCTTCCCTGACAGTTTTTTTTACAACACATGAGGACGGCCTGCCCCTGTGCCTCTAAGACTTTCTTCTTGAAGAACATCCAGCCTTCCTGGGATTCTTTGCCATTCAGGACTGTCTTCCTAGGCACATTCCCAACTAGTGTCCTGAACAGCCCGAAATCTGCCCTCTGGAAGTCCATGGTAGCATTTCTACTTACCCCACTCCTTACTTCACCACGAATTGAGAATTCTCATCATTTCATGGTCATTTCTATGCAAGCAAAACACTCCCTAACACACAGTGCTACTCCACCACCTCCCCTTCCCTGTCTACCCCTTCTGAAGAGCTTATAGCCATTCATTGCAGTACTCTAATCATGGCTGTCATGCCACCATGTTTCTGTGATGGCAACTATGTCATAGCTGTCCTGCTGCACATGGCCTCCAGCTGCTCCTGTTTATTGCCCATGCTGTGTGCATTGTAGATGGCACTTCAGCTGGGCTAACAATCCTGCCACAATTTTGAGGAGAAAAGTCCTAATTACTGTCTGACCATTCCCAGCCACTTCCATGGTTACTAACCTATTAGTGAGCCCTGTCTTTTTGTTTTCCACTGGGCTGTCTTGCTCCTCTGTTGCTGAGGAGCTAAGTATGGAGAATGGCCCTTTAGTGTTCGGAGTTGTTGTCTTCAACATTAGGGTACATTAGGTTATTTTCAAGGGAGAGTACATAGGTCTGGCAATTGCCTCTTTCTTGTTTGAAACATCCTTTTGAATATTTTAAGAGTTTGCTGTGATAATAAAGCTTGTGGGAGAAGGTACAACACATTCAAGGGAAGCTGCTACTACATGCTTGAAGAATCTAGGATGTAAGTTTTGATAGGATCCTGAAGCAAGGAGATTGCTATTAACTCCCTTGCCAAAACAATAACCTACACCAAATCGTGGCATGAAAAAGATGCAAAGTATCTTTTGCATTCCAGTTACTTATGACATGCACAGGAAATGTCTGGACAAGGGAATTCTGCCCGAGGAATCCAAAGGAAGTATTTGGAAAGAGAAGTTGAGGGAAACATGACAGAGGTCAGCAGAAACTTGGAAGCTCAGGTATTGAGGCTTGAAGGTTTTACTAGCCAGAGTGTCAGGATTCAGTGTATCATATGTCATCCTGTCTTGTGAGCTCAGGATGTGTGAGCTGCTGGGCCATTGGAGCCTCTTAAGGAGACCTTGTGGTCCTGTCAGTCTGCCACCTGCTCTCTGCAAAGCCTCTTGGCCTTGTGTAGAAGTGTGTTGCTGCTGCCTTCTCACTGAGGCTTACAAACTTCAAAGCAAGCCAGTAAACTCCTGTTGGTACTTATCATGTTGCAGACCACAGCTGAACTCCCACCATATAACCCTGGGTTGTAAGAGCTCCTGCTTCTTTAGAGGCCTCTTCTCTGGGAAAGGCTTGCATTACTCTGATGATGAAAGAAATGAGCCTATCTTCAGTCCCCTCAGGTCTTTTGGGTTTTAACTGTATGGAAACAATATGTGCTGTAATTGCAGCCTCACCCCACTAGTCCTTTATCCCCTCTGTAGTTATTGTACTGCATGTCTGTCTTCTATTGCACTCTCACTGCAGCATGTGTTTCCTTAGTGTAAACCTTCTGTTAATTTATTAACAAAATCTCTACAAATCCAAATAAATAATTATCTTATTAGTATTGGGAATCCTTAGCTCTTTTCCTGCTGCAGCTCTGCCTCTCTTCAGTGCTGATCAGCCACAGACATGTTCCAGTTCAGAGTTTTTCTTCTTTTTTCTTTTTTTTCTCAAGCATGACATTACAGCTAATAATACAGTCCCAGGCTGGAATTCAGGAAACTCCTTAGCAAAACAGCACTTGGTACCTCTAGCAGGTGTTGTGCTTGCTGGGGCTGCTTAATACAAATTCATAGCTTGCTAAGTATTAAGGTTTTTTTAGGAAGCAGCAGTGCCTTGTAAAGCAGAGGTTCCTATGTGCAGAGTGTTGAAAGCGTGATGGCTCTTCTTTTCTCAGGGCTCCAGAGAATCATCATTTTGGCTGTGAAGGAGAGTTGGAGAACAGTGTCTACAACAAGTTGACAAAAAGACCGCTGGCACATCCCAACTATCAGCTCCATTTTGCTGTGCAACAGCTTCAGCAGCAGAAACGTCAGTCACCGCAGCTGTCGGAGCAAAGCCAAGCCCGACACCAGGTAACTAAGAAAAAAATCATGCCTGGGATGTAGCGATGCTGACTGAGTCTTAGATGTGCAGGACCAATCCGGAGCTGGTACATATGGCACAGCTTTTGTGAAGGAAGTGGCTTTTCACGTGGGTTGCAACAAAGCTAATATTACTGACAGTGATTTTGACAGCACTTTGATGCTGTAGTTCCCAATGGCTTCTTCTACTGCATTGGCATTCTCCTCCATTTGGCTACTGACAGGTTGCTGTGATTTTCTGCACCAGTTCAGGGCATCACCTTGTAGAGCCTCAGACAGCCTTAGAACAGTCTACAGACTCCTTGGTTCATTGTCACTTAATCTCATCACTGGTAGTATGTTCATACTCAGACTTGAGTTCTTAGGTAGTACTTCAAGCTGGGTCACTGTTCTATTTCAGTGTTTCTAAATATAGACTCTTGAAATTGTGTTGGCAACTGTGTTCTCTGTGGCAAACAGACCCCATCAAGGCTTCATCTTGACTTCTCCTGGATGTGTTATCACACGATGCAGGTATCAACTTCTTTACTATGAGGGTGACAGAGCGCTGGAACAGGCTGCCTGGAGAGATTGTGGAGTCTCCTTCTCTGGAGACTTTCAAGACTCATCTGGACATGTTCCTGTGTGATCTGCCCTAGGTGTTTCTGCTGCAGCAGGGGGGTTGGACTTGATGTTCAGAGGTCCCTTCCAACCCTATGGTTTTATGAAAAGAGGAACAGGCTGCCTGGAGAGATTGTGGAGTCTCCTTCTCTGGAGACTTTCAAGACTCATCTGGACATGTTCCTGTGTGATCTGCCCTAGGTGTTTCTGCTGCAGCAGGGGGGTTGGACTTGATGTTCAGAGGTCCCTTCCAACCCTATGGTTTTATGAAAAGAGCAGTTTGTTAAGGGGACTGAAAAAGATCTAGGAGAATCTTCATTCTTTTGAAGTAATATGTTAATTTATTTTAAGAGCCATCACTGTGCAGGAGGCATGGCCACCAACCTTAATGCCAGATTCAAGTTTTGTCTGCAACCCTGAAAATATTCTCCAGGCCTCCTACACATTTTTTTATTACTACATTTAAGATCTCCTTTCACTGCTTTGCACGAAACTGTCTGATGGACACGTGACTCTTGTTACAACTGCAAGAAGAAAAGATAGGCTAAGTGTCTAAGAGCTAGAGGAAATTGAAAAGAGTTTGTGTTATTCGTGTTCTGGGTGACACCTAGATGCCACTGTGTCTGTAATAGCATTTCCATCCTGCCTGGGGAAGTTTTCCAAAGTTCAATGAGTGCATTGATGCAATCATTACTTTTCTTTGTTATTATGGAAGAAGGTGTGTTCTTTCTTCTGAGTGATATCCAAAAGGCTTCCCTGCTAAAGGGAAGGAAGCCTTTGGGCAAACAAAATTTCACTCAGAAGAGATTGATCTCCATTAGGAAGGAGCTATTTGCTGGACAGCCTGGCAGGACTGGACTCCAACAAAGCCAAGAACAGAACTAACATGTCAGGATCTGAACAGCCACTCTCCCTCCTGTGAAGCAGATGAGTCACTAGTCTGGGTCCTTGAGAATAGGTTATAGGCAAATTGCCCTTATCGTTTTCTGGGAGCATCTTAAAAGAGTGGCCGTTCTGCCTTTGCTCCCTGCACTTCTTTCAAGGCCCTCACTTAGCCATGCAGTTTCCATCTCCAAATTCCCTCACCTACAGTCTCCATGCCCCCTCTGTGAGCAGGAGGTCTTCCTTTCATCTCCATCCAGGGGGCTCTGGGTGGGCAGCTGTGGCTGCTCATGAACTCAGGAGAGGGCCGTAAGCTGGCTTGTGCCTGTGAGGAGGCTGGAGCTGGCCGTGGGGCCTGGCTGAGTCCTCTTCTAATTGCTGACATTGAGCTGATGTTATTCTTGGCCTCGGGCAGAGCCATTACTCAGGAGTTTCTGTTAAAGTGATTCTTTGTTAAACCTCCTCTCACCCCCACAGCGTCCCCCTCCTTTCTCTCCCTCCCTTCTCCTTCTGAGCCAAGCAGCTTGGAGTTGCAGTATTCAGGCCATTGCCATGCCGCAGGGCTCAGGCTGCACTGAAGTTGCCATTAATGAAGATTTTGCTGAACATGGAGGCTCTTAGGCTTTCTGTAGTGAAAACCACATCTTAATAAAATTATTGTCTCTTGGATACTTCCTGTCCCACTAGACATTGCATCGAGCCAGCCAGACCACCCCTTCCAGTCACAATTGCACTGACCCTCTGATGCCCCTCCCAATCACTAGACTGTCCTCATCCCAGTCACTCCACTATCCTTAACTGTCTGTCCCCTGCTCTCTCTGGAGTTTCTGTCACTAACCTCTTCCTTCTACTAGCTAGATTCTAAGACTTCAGCCCTCTGCCTTGGCCTTTCCAAGAACTGCCTTCTCTTTTCTGCTGCTTACATCTCCCTGCCTTACATCTCCTTCCCACTCATACTGTTTTGAATTCCACCCCACATTTTCCTGCTGGCCAGAATTTGTCCTCTTTTTCCCCTCCACAGCTGATGTAGCTTATCCTAGCCTGCATGGCTTTGCCATATTTCCTAGTAAGTGTCACCTAAGCTATCTATCTCCTGTTGCCTGCCTTTTCCCTTCTTTTCCTTTCCACATGTCAGGGTCTGCTCCATCCTTTGTTGTCTTGCCTATTATGGTCAAGTTTCTCAGCCTCCTCTCAACAGAAGGAATATATCCCCAAAACTAGAAGACCTATCACTTGAAAGGGTGTAATGATCTCTCTACTATGGGGAGTATATGGAAGGATATCTCCAAGCCTCTTTTATCTGATGGTTCAAGTTCTTGTTACAGTTGGAAGGCAGGATAGCCATTTGTCAGTAGCTCAAGTGCATTTATTAATGTATCTTGAGGCATATCCTGAGTATGGCATGACCATACAACATGAGTGCATGCCAGTCTTTCCTTCTCTCTGACAAGTGGGCTAACAGTATGTTTGCTGATAGCATATGAACAAGTAACAGAAGCACAATGATTAGCAACACCAGCAAAGGCTTCTGCCTGTGTATTAACCAGTTGGATATGTTGGAGATGAGCTGGATGCATTTGAAAGCATGGAAGACCCTAGTCAAGTATTTGTGTAGTAGAAACACCCCCATCTGCTGTATGGGGGATGTGTTACCATGAAAGCTTATTGCCTACTGCTTTGTGGCAGCACCTGCTCTTGGTTGACCACTTTCCAGACCCTCAAGAATTATGATTTCTCCTCCAGGCATTTAACAATTTGCAGAGTAGCAGATACTGTGTTGGTGGAAGAAGAGGAATAATGACCATCAATTTTCACTTGTTGTATGTGGAAGTTAATTTGTGCATTGTCGTATGACAGAAATAGATCTCTGATGTGAGAATAGGTACTTCATTCCCTGGACAAAAAGAAAAACACCAAACTTGAATGGATGAGAATCTAACAAACACATGGATGGAGTGATAGGGTTATAATACAGAGCTTGAGAAAAGAGAAGAAAAATAGAAAGGGGCAGAGACAAGAAGCTTAAATCTGATATTAACAAAATGAAGGAACAAGAATTACAAAATCAAACCAAAATACAAGAACAACAGGTTTATAGCAGTATTTTTAATGTTTAAAGGAGACTTCATGTGACATGTTATGACCTAGATGTTAGTATCACTGCTACAGTTGGCAAGGCAGTTATTATACCATCATTGTTTATTCTCTAATTGTTTCCTGTACTGGAAAGATGCCATCAGCTGTTAGGGAGGTTCCTCCTTCTCTGTGTGTCTATGTGCTGTCTGCTTAGCCTAGCATCTACTGTGTTTATAATTTTATGCCAAACATTTCACATGGGAAAAAAGCTAAATTAAAACAAGAAAAGTACAGTTGTATAGTGGAACGATCCCCATCAGTCCTGCTTATATATAAAAAAAATATCTCATGTTGTACAAGATATAAATCATGTTAACAAGTTGTATGGTCAGATATGATCACATTTTCAATCAGAAGTTTAAGTAGATTTTATGCTATAAAATGTTGGGCTAAGTTAATCTTAAACAATTCTCTTCTCAATTATTTAGAACCAGTATGTTTTCTGAAATATTCCTCATTTTATGAAGTTGAGCAAATTTTTTCTCTTAATGTAAGTAACACACTACAGTTCCCTACA